GGGGGTCCGTGACCTGCCGGTCGGAGTTCCAGCAGGAGAGGTACGGGGTGGGGGGTCCGTGACCTGCCGGAGCCCTGCCGCGGGCGGCCGGGGGGCCGGCCGCGTTCCGCGCCTTTGTAACGGCAGAAATTGACGCCGAGGGAGGCTCCGAAGGGGGCAGGACCGCGGTAGGAGAGCCTGCCCGCCCGCTCGGGCAACGCGAGGGTGCCCCGTAACCGCGGTTCCGCGCTAGGGTTGTTCCCCCGGCGTTCACCGCTTGCCGCGGCGCGTGTTGGCGCGTCTGCTCTCCGGGGGTTGCATGGGCAGGAATTCCAGGGTGCGTGGTGGTGGCTGGATTCAACATGATGCAATTTTATCTTTAGCAAAACTAATACGATATGCAAGAAGTGTGCCCAAAACGTGAAGCAGTTCGGAACGGTGAGTAGGCTCTTAGTTCTAAATATTGAAGTTAAGTTCGTTCACGTTTTAAATTAAAAAAAGTTCTCTTGGAACTAAACTTCTTATTTTCATTTTCTTTGGGGGGAAAAAAAAAAAAATTACCGTTCAGAAAGGTGACGAAAATTACTGGCAGCTCTTGATTTCCTTCGTGGCTTACAGTTTCTTTCTTCAAATTGAAATCTATTGTGATTATAAGTAGCTTAACGGTTATGAATAACTGCAGTATAGCTATTCATAGTAAAACCAATGTTATTTCCCTTTATGCATGTAAAGTAATTCTTTGCATATTCTCATAAACGCACACTTGACGGCAGAAAGGCCGTTAGCTGTCTGTGTTTTTAATGAGTGGTAAATGTGAAAATCTAATAATACCGCATACTTTATATTGTGTAAGTCTTAAAATTTTTAAATGCATGTTAATCATGTTAAGCTATTAAGTAGAAAAGATGTTATAAGTATTAGCAGTACGCACGTTACTTTGCATTTTCTCATCTTGAATTTGAGCTCCAGTTCCGTTAGAAAAAATAATTTTTTTAATATATGAATACACACACTGTATCTGAGCACCCTGCAGATACGAGTTTATAGAAGGTGTCAAGATAATCTTGTCGTGAAACAAATGCACGTAACTTCTCTATACTTGACATAAACCATATTAGATGAAATTCAGCTTATTTGAGAAACGTAACAGCTGTTGGTATGTAGTCAGGCATTTTGTGAATGTAAATGTAAACTGAACAAAGAACATTCTTTCAAAAGCTTAAAATGTAGCAAAATGAAGTGCAAGACAGATCCAACAATGTTTTTTATCAGTAGTTCATCAAAAAAAGAACTGCATCGAAGATAATCAGCCGTTTCTAACCTATGAATACTGACAGCAGTTTTATTTTCCAGCAGCATTTTATTCTGGTTGAATGTGTGATACAAAAGTTGATAACCTGACGTGATGGTATCTGAAGTTGTTTGGTGGGTGGGTTTTTTTGGTTTGGTGTTTGTTTTTTTTTTTTAGCTTCCTGCAGAATTGTAGGGATCAGGATACTAGTCTTGGAGCTGTATGGTTATCAAATCCCTGAGTAGTGCAGGGGAGAGGAATGTTTTCAGAAACTTCCAGTCTAAAATAGAACTTGATTACTCTTCCAAAGTTTTTTAAGTAATTTCTTTAGTAACGTAGTAAAACAGAGAAAATGTCATCATATTTAAAAAAAATTAAAAAGAGGCAGGGGTAGAGGTGTGTTTCAGACACCTCTACATTTCTGTCACGTTGCATGCATTTCTTTCATTGAATTATGTACCTGGATTTTCATGGAAAGTCCAGACTGGTTTTGACCATTGAAGGAACATCATTTTAGGGGAAAAGTTAAGTACTGAAGATAGAGGTGGTAGGAAAAAGGTTCTTTAAGATAGGTTACATGAAACCGTAGTAGTTTAGAAGCATCATTGTGTGATTTGAAATACCTGTGTTCATTTCAGAATCTGTAAATGTATTAACTTCAGTTCAACTTACCTGTTTTTCAGCCCAAGCCTTGTCAGTATTGTAACATTATTGCAGCATTTATTGGCACAAAATGTCAGCGTTGCACCAACTCAGAGAAGAAGTACGGCCCACCTCAGACATGTGAACAGTGCAAACAGCAGTGTGCTTTTGATCGAAAAGAGGAGGGAAGAAGGAAGGTAGGCTTTGTTCCACAGCTGTGATGGCTTAGGTTGACAACAGACAGCGTTCCTCCTTCGTAAGAGAAAGATTAATGGGAATGTATCTTAAGTTCATTAATATTAGATTAAAGTTGCTGTGCTTTACAATATTTGAATTAAATTTTGCAACTTGCAATTCTTAGGTTAGCTACTGAGCTAACCTAAAATTAAATCACTGTTTTTAAAAATAAGCTTAAGCGTAAGCCGACAGTCGTAGCTGGGGAGCAGAGGTTAAGCAGCTGAACAGTTCCCGGTGCTTTGATTTTTTTTTTTTATTTTTATTTTCCCATCCATTGGATCTTATGTATGTCCGTAACTTGAACCTGTCACTTTACCTCTTCTGATTTGCCTGCCTTGCCTTAAAGTGCAGCACCAGAGAGGTAGACTGCTCTGAGCAGCCCTTTGTGTTCTGTTTTCTTAAATAGCTTTGGTGAGTGCCACTTTCTCATTCCAGAAGGTGCTGAGGAAATGACCTCAAAAGCCTCTTGCCTGAACCCAAGAATAATGCTGTTTTTACAGAAGAATTTACTTGGTACAAGTAACACGTTGGCCGGACATCTTGATTCTGCCTGGAATACGATGGGTTGAGAGAGGGTACACGGTGTCTAAACTAAAAATGATTAGTCCTTTTATCACTTCTGTGATATAGAGCGAGTCCAACATTTGCTAAGACTGCTTTCTAGCATAACTTTAAATGACAAAAAGAAATGGAATAAGATTCACTTTACTAAAAGACAGTGTGTATACGTTGGAGATACGGTAGTGCTGTTTCATACCAAAGAGATGTCTGGATTTTTCCCAAAGGTAACAGATGAAGTGAAACAAATTTTTCTTGCAAATATTGAAGTACATCTTTCTAGTGCAAGTATACTTGGAAAAAAACCCTGCTATGAATTATTTCCCAAAAGGTTGATGGAAAGTTGTTGTGTTGGCTCTGCACACTGTCCTACAAGAGAGTGCTACAGAAGACAAAAGAACAGAGGAAGAGCCTAGGATCTTCACATTCTAACTCCTCATCTTCATCTCTTACTGAGAAAGACCAGCATCATTCAAAACACCACCACCATCACCACCATCATCATCGTCACAGCAGCAGTCATCATAAGTAAGTATGTCAAAAATTAAAGTAGCTGTTGGTACCTCTTCCTCTTCTGTGTTCTGTTAGTACTGAGATCAAATCAAAGGAGATAAGTAACGCTGTTTAAAATACGGCATCAAAAGCAGTAGCAGAATGTTGTTCTTCCATGGTCTGTCAAAATCCTTGTATTCTTACAGGGAGGTCAGCAAAAAGCAGAAATTCTTGGTGATCATCAGACTAGTTGATGTTAAAATTGGTAGCAAGTCTAGAAAAGAAACCCATAGAATGGCTATGGAGCAAGTTACTTGGGGATAAACTTGAATTTGGTTTTCTAAGCAGTAACTGCGGTGTGATAACTGCTACTTTACATGCATTTACCATGGGTTAAAAGGTGTGTATTGGCAGCGAGCACAGAACAGCTACTTTGCTCAGAATCCTCACCCTAACTTACTTCATCCAGACTTGTTTGTGCGCACATACTTGCAGTTCTGTCCTATCTTCTGCAGCTTTTCTCAGCGTGCCATCTCTGGCCGTGGGATCAGCAGCATACCGACTTTAATGTACAGACTAGTTTATCTAGTTACAAATCCCAGGGCTGATTTGTTTCTTATGCTAGTATAATAGTAGTCACAATTCTTATTTTCATTGGTAGGCTTACGGCAGCATAACTTTAGAACTACTTACATTATTTTTATTTTTGTGTTGGATAGTGCTGCAATGATAATGACCCTGACCCCAGACACAAACACTTTCTTCCTAAGCTTCGCTTTCCCAGTGCTTATAATTTTCCATTTTGACTGAAACTTGCCTCACTAAGTGTGACTTAGATAGAAGCAAACTAAGCTGGAATGATACTGTGAACGAGGAGAATACTCCATACATACTTTCACTTAAAAAAAAAAAAAAAAAGATTAGGGGTTTTTTTTAGGAATTTGAAGAAAATTGTTCTTGTCATGCAGGGAGTCATTGTAATGTTCCTGTTCTCTCAAATCTGTGCTGAAAATCAAGTTGCAACAAACTAAATCTAATTTAATGCATGTGGCAGAGATACAGTAAGGATTAAATAAAAAAAGTTAGCTCTTTACTACAGAATAGAGCTTCTAATATACTCAAGAGTTATAAAAGTAAGCATATCTCTACAGATCACAATGTTCCCAGTTTGGCACATTTTTTCTATAGGCTGCCATGCGTCCATTGCTTCTGGTCCAATAAATATGTCTCTTCTTCCCTGTCCATTTCAGTTATTATTAAGATGACACAATAGAGACAGTGAGGTAGAAATACAGATTCATGGAACTATTTCACTTAGTGCAATCTTCTATGTTTTACTATTCCTGTATCAATGGTGTTTATTAAAATTGCTTTTGAAATTATTGAAAAAAATCTTTAGACCTGAAAAGCGGTTATTTTCAGGGATCCAAAACTTAGCTTTGCTCTTATGCCATCACATAAGCACCACTTTAGGCAATGTTCATATTGCAGTATGGGAATCCCAGGAATGCTCTTTTAGACCAGCTTGCTGAGTACAAGATTAGCAATATAAAGTTCACAAAAATTGGGAGATACCGGAAAAAAGGTTTAGCTGTCAGTCTGGGAGTCTACCCCTAGTGTCTTACAATAGTGTAAACATTTAGCTAAGAAATATTTTTATAGCATCCTGACATAGTAAAGAGTGATCATCAATATGACAGATAATACGACTGTCCAACTGAAAATTCATAATTGGTCATTTTTTTATTAAAAAAAAAAAGGGGTGGATTTTTTCTCAAGTACAGATACCATTCACGTAAACTTAGAAATAATGGCATGTTTGGTCAGTTACCAAATACATTTCACGTATTTCAGAATCAGCAGTCTGAGTCCAGAACAAGATCAGGGACTATGGAAACAGAGGTAAATATGATATTATTTATTAATTTCCTTTTCATTTATCTTGCAGTTTTTGTTTAAAGGACTTTTTTCTTGCATTTCTGGCTAGTCGCTAGCGTTCCAGCTAGGAGCATGAGTTAGTTATTTTACATGCACCAAATGGTGATATTAGAGAGCTATATAGTATGAGGCTTTAGGTTTACATTTTGTTTGATTTCAGCCATAAATCCTCTGCAGCTATTCAGAATGAAACTCCAAAGAAAAAACCCAAACTGGAATCCAAGCCATCAAATGGAGATAGGTAAAGTTATATTTTTGTAAAGCTGAGCCATTTCAACCAAATAGAGCTCTGATTTGTGGCCAGTTGCTGCTTTTCTTTTTTTTTTTTTTCGGTCTGAAGAATGAGGGAGGTGAAACTATTGTCCAGCCAGACATGTTATTGGGTGGCATCTGAGTGCTGTCAGTCAACTAAATGACTTTATGAGCAGAAAACTGGCACTGTGTTCCTGCTTTTAAGCTGTTTGGGGCAAAATTAAATAAAACTTACGTATGAGGCAACAGTTATCAATGGAACAGTATTCCCTAACATGGGTGTTTCGTCAATTAGATGCAGGGTTGAACCTGCTGCTTTAAGCTGACCTAGTACCTAGAGAAGTCTTTTGGACCTTAATGTGTGAGACTGAATCTTTATTCTGTCTCTGGCCAAACAGTTGGTATAAAAGTAAAAGTGGCTGCTTCAGTCAAAAGTTATTTGTCCCCCTCAAAGCTAATACTTAATTATATTTCTGCAGGTGTATGTAATGTGTGCCATTAGTAAGGTAATTTGCCAGTTGCATCCATTTCTGTCAGGTACATACTTTTTTTGCATTAGTCCTTAAGGATGTTTGTGGAATTATTAAATATCCAATTTGAACTTTAAAAAAAGTTACTGGTTTTTTCTATTGATGTTGCAAGTAACTATTGTTTTTTATTTTTAGTAGCTCTATAAATCAGTCAGCAGACAGTGGGGGAACTGACAACTTTGTCCTCATAAGTCAGCTGAAGGAAGAAGTGATGTCACTTAAACGTCTTCTGCAGCAAAGAGATCAGACTATTTTAGAAAAAGATAAAAAGGTAAAAGTTGCTCCTGCTTAATAAGAAGTTTATAATTTTGTTTTCTGTTTTGTAGACTCCTAACAATGTCAAAATGGTGACATAAAACAAAAATCAGGTGTAATTTTTTTATATAGCAACTAATCAGATCTTACCATTTAACGGACAAGTTTGGGACTTTTGTATCAGGAATATATTTTGGCTCTAAGTCAAAGAGGAATTCACCTTACCTCACTTAAACCATTTGGAAGCTAGCCATCTGGTTCGCTGTTACTCGGGCTGTGTGCCACAGGTGATGGATAAAATGCCAGATGGTGGTTTGTATGTTTTACGTATTTTAAACTGAGTCACGGCAAAGATCCCGGATACCTACATAGGCTGATGGGCACACAAGATAAGAGGAGGATTAAGAGTAGTAACCGTTCTGAGGTTTAACGTAGTTTTTGTTTAGTTTTAAACTAAAGCAACTATAGCCATAGTTCATGAGCTGGTGTCCAAATTTGCATGTACAGTGTATGAAAATGGAATGTTTTGATTTTAAAAGATTGGTAGCATATGCATAGTGTAGGTTGTCAAGTCTTTGTGTGTGGTCAGAGGCTAGAAGAAAAGCTTGGATTAGATGCCTGGCAGTCAACAAAAATTAAGCAAAATAGTCAGGCCCAAAAGGCTGCAGTGAAACTGATACGAGAGATTCACCCTTCGAACAACCTAATGACTAACAAGAAAAGAGAAATAACCACAAATACATACTTTGTTCTGCCTTTATTAGAGCTTATTTCTCTGCCATCTGATTAACTAGATGCTTTTAAGATACTGTCTGACGGTGGCTTTAGAATGTCTGTTCGGGATTGGGTAGGTTATGGAATGGTATTAAAAATAATTAAATTTACTATATTTTCAAGTAAAAAATGTATTACAGATGCACGGTGGCCTATCAAAACATTGATCAAAACAAGAAAGGCTCATTGATCCTGAAAGGAAAATGCTTCCACTTTTAAACCATAGTTCAGTATCTTCATTTCTACACTTAAATGTGTTGTGTAAAGGATATTGAACTCTTTTTCGTTTATATATGGCCTCAAGTTGCGCCAGGGGAGGTTTAGATTGGATGTGAGGAAAAATTTCTTTACTGAAAGAGTGGTTAAACATTGGACCAGGCTGCCCAGGGAAGTGGTTGAGTCACCATCCCTGGAGGTATTTAAAAGACGTGTAGATGCGGTGCTTAGGGACATGGTTTAGTGGGCATGGTGGTGTTGGGTTGACGGTTGGACCCGATGATCTTGGAGGTCTCTTCCAACCTTAATGATTCTATGATTCTATGATATCACTGTTATAATATACCTAGTGTTGGAAGTACTTGCTATTTCAAGCCTTTAAGCGGTTAATGTGAAAGAGCTGAACAGTCTGTCATGGATTCTCTTTAGGTATTTTCTTCAAAGGACAGACATTACGGCCCTGATCTCTCTCTTATAAAGCCAGTAGAAGATCATGAGTCAGTAGGAAATTCACTTATCTCTTTTTATATTGATCTACTGGGCAAAGCTAACAAAAGGGTTAGGTAAGGAAACGTCACCTACTTCTGCGTAACCACTGCAGTAATTTGTTTTGTGCTGTTTCCATAGGGAGAGCATCTAATAATTTTAATATCCCCACTGCTAAAACTATTTAGTTGACCTCAGAGTTCTTTGAACTTAAAGACTCCTTCAGGCATGATTTACTCACTTTCAGAATGTCACTTTCTCTCCCCCTGCCCTGGCAGCTGAAGAAAGTAAAGCTGAACACATCGTACAATGTTTGCATAGCTGAAAAATTCACAAGAAATGAATGCACTGCAGATTTTTTTTTTGACTGTGAGATAATAAATGTAAAGACATGTACTGGGATAAAAGCCTGAGCCAGACCTGTGGCAGATTCCTGTTAAGATCTTGTCCCAAGATTTGTGTAGGGATGGCATTTGAACAGTTTGGAGTGCTCCAAAAGAAAAACCTTGGAAATGTGTAACGTATGGCAACAAAAACAACTCAGTACACCAGCTTTACAGACAACACTCATTCATCATTTTTTGTTAGGAGTCAAGATCTCAGCCACGTCATTACCAGTGCTTATTGTTTGCAGTACTAGCCTTGTTTCGCTTTCTGGACAAAATGTTAGTGAGACACCAAGACATTACCGTGGGGCCCGGAGACTTGATCGTTAGGAAGGGACCGCAGTTTGCTGAATGTTCACAAGTAGTGTGTTTGCTCATCAGGTTGTCTACTGTGGTGCAATACTACCACTAGTTTTTTTTGATATTTAGTTTGTGGTATGTGGTTTTTGTACTGGATCCCCTGAAATTTACAACAGCCCCAAGTACCTACCCTGTGTAGCAGTCTGTGTACAGTGAGGTATATGTCCTTGTATCAAGATGCACTTTATTTAGGACCATTTGATTGACATTTCTTTTGAATACCTTGTTTTACTACATGTGATTTGACACATACTAAGGTTGGTAATAGCAGTCTTGGTAGTCCTTTTAGGAATGTATCCTCTGGTTTGTTATAGCGAGCTGCTTTGCTAGCGAAGAGGCTTCATTTCCTGATAAATCCAGATTGACCGGAGAGGTTCAAAATAGCCAGGTGAATCTGGGATGCTTTGAGGAACTAAACTTCTAAAGCTTCTGGGTCCATATACAACAAACTGTTAGTAGTTCACCCAGCTGCACACGCTTCTAGAAGAAGCGTTCAGCTGCTTCAATAGAAGCATATCACACTGCCTCAGTGTATGTCATCTGGATCTCTGCCTGTCTCGGGAGAGACCCAGTGGCAGCAATACTACACCCATACGCTCAGAATTAAATCGTAAGTTGTCATTTTAATTACACATTTCTAATAACACAGTTTAATTCACTGTTGTTGTGGATCGAGAAGCAGTGAAACTCTGGAATGTATACTTCTGTTTAGGACAAATTGTAGCATAAAAGGACACAAAGGAATCCTTTCTGTTGTCTTTGTATGGAAGATTTTTCATGCGTTACCATACCATATACTGAAGAGACGTAATTGAAGATTGTGATAAGAATCTCGCAGCTGAAAGAACAGCTAAGATTATAAATGGTTAGTCTTGTATTTGATTTTTTTTTTGTTGAGGATTAACCTTTTTTATACCAAATTCTGAGCAAACAATATGGTTATACAGTTGTATTCTTCATATAAAATAGACATACTTACTTTTCAAGCCACTTCTCAAGTGCTGAGCTGTCAATACTACAGTAGTAAATAAATACAATGTTTCCTCAGATTCCTGAGGCTTCCATAAAGATTTCACAGATTGATTAGAAGATGTATACTGTAGCAGTCCAAGGAATCTTCATAGAATTCGTGTTTTCAGTTGACAGAACTGAAGGCAGACTTCCAGTACCAGGAGTCTAACTTGAGGACAAAGATGAACAGTATGGAGAAGGCTCACAAGGAGACTGTGGAACAGTTGCAGGTGAGTAATTGCTTATCAATACTTGACAAATACTTCAGATGGAATTATGTATTCGGGCTGTTCACTGAAGCAATGAAATAGTACCAAGTTCTTGAATGGTTATTTCCACGTTTTACTTCGGATGCATTGTACAGCAGTTCTGCAGTCAACTGACAATCTCTGTATGAATTAAACTCACTGTAAGAATTGCTTTCTAACTTTTAAGTGACAGAGGCTTACCTCATATGCTTTCTCAAAGGTCATGTTATTTTTTGTGTCTGTTCTCTGATATCTAATCAGTTGTCAGTGTGCTATTGATCTGATTTAAGGGATTAGCGTTAACACAGCTGACAGGTAAATGTCTCTTGTTAAAGCATACTTTATCAGGAAGAAAGCCTGAATTAGTTGCCTTATAAATCACAGACTGAACAGATAACTCGGTGCCTCAGATACTAAATTTTGCAACACAGGAAATGTGGTTACCTTTTCTGTTAAAGATGGAATATGCATGTCAGAAAGCATGTACAAATCTTTGAAAAGTGATCGTTGTTATCTTTGAATATTTTCAGCATGTACATTTTGAGAACTTGTTTCATAAATGCAATGGAAAATGAGTGCGTGACACTACTATCTGAGATGTTTCAGTAATTCATAAAACTTTTTTATCTGTATTGCAGGCCAAAAACAGAGAACTGCTCAAACAGGTTGCAGCATTGTCAAAGGGTAAAAAGTTTGATAAAAGTGGGAGTATACTAACATCTCCTTGAGGAGCTGGTTATTCCAGGGGTTTTCTACTCAATGTAAATTTGAGTAATTCTGTGAAGCCCTTAAAATCCTGTGTAGTGAAAAAAATATTTTTGCACACCAGATTAGTTGGCATGTTTCCTACACGTTTTTATAATTAATATGCAGCTTTTTTTAGTTACTGTTCAGATTAAATACTTCAACTGGCTTGAAGAATGTTTTTATTTTTTTGATATTGGAAACTTTTTGCCAGCAATAGTATTAAACAATTGCATAGAGAACATAGCAGTGCTCTCTCTAAAAGGACAACATGCAATAACAAACTAGGTGTACTTTTTACAAAGCAGCAACTGAGTCTTTTAAACTACACTGATGTCAGCCAAAAGTTTATGAATCTGCAGTGATGCTGAACACTGGTTTCTGGCAACTGTTCTTTTACTTTGTATCAAAATATAAATTTAGAATGGAAATCATGGTGCTCTCAAGTGAAACTAAAAGGCATATATGTATGTGTAAATACAACGATAACTGTTATATTCTTAGTTATAACAAGTAATTAGTGTTTTACATTCTTGTGATAGGGATTTACTGAAAGATTATCTATTGTACAGTAACAGAGGCAGTGTGGTTTTTGTAAGATTTACTGTAGATTTTTCTTGCAAGTGCCTTTCTCCAACTGTTTATTTATAGGAATGTTGGTATTTTGTACATAAGGTTTTTATGTTTTAAAATCATGTTTAATAAATGTTTTATGTAAATATAAATGTGTGTACAGAGGAATCTGAAACAAAGATCAAAGTGGCTAGTGCAGTGCTTGAAGCAGCATTAAGAGCTAGCTAATTGATGGACAGTGAGTATTGGCTTTAGATAACCTTCGTAGCATGTGTCTGTGAGGTGTAGAATTTTATTAGTGCTGCTCATGCCAAACACTTCCTGAACAAAAAACGAAATGTTTTCCACCACAGTGGTTTGTTTATATATTTTTTTTCCCATTTGGCACAGCGCTAATTGTAATTCCATAGCAGACATTGTACTCCCAATGTTACATCCTTAATTAGTGATATACACTCAAAGTTTTAAAAAAAATTATTCCCCATTCTCTGATTTAATGTAATTAGTTTTAACTTACAGTGATTCTTCTTAACGAATTGCAAGATTCTCATCCCTCAGTAAAGATACACAAGGAAAAGAGAGTAGCCAAAACTAATCGTCTTGAAATTAATTAAGGGAGTGGATGTGGTGTCAAAGGGTGGATTGTTTTAATGTTTTGGGTAGATTTTGATTCTAAATTACATCAGTTTAAGTTTAGCTCTGCTCCTAATGGACATTAGTCATATTCAGATATTTCTATTAAATATAATTTAGTATACCCCAAGGTCTCTGTTCAGGAAGGTGAGTTACAAATCGGCATAAAGTGAAGTAGACTTACGTAAGGAATGGTGTGGTTCAGCTCTGGGTACTGATTGGTAACAGTGTAACTGCTTATATTTCAGTAACCTCAATTGTGTAGAAAAAGCTACACACCTTTTAATTACAGAATTTAAATCTAAAGTTCCTAGGCTGTCCACCCATGTTCTGAACTATGAACACCTTTTCAGTAGTTCAAACAAGTTCCGGCAGTGACAGACTACTGAATAATTTCGAAAAAATCAAGCTATCTTGTTTCATATGGTATACGTGTATTTTTATACCCTAAAATCAACTTTGTATGTTTATAAATACTCTTCTTTAAACTTGCTAAACTAGGGTAAAGAATGCTGCTATCCTTTGGGGATGTTATTATTTTTTTTAATATACAAATTTATGACTTTCATTAATTCAGAGTTAGTATTTTGATAATGGTTTTTTTCCAGTTGACTGGCGACCCATGTTTGGTGAAATTGGTTTTAAAACACAGACATGCATAGCAAATTGAAATATTTGAAGTAAGATCACTTAATGATACCTGTTCAAGCTGCAGTAAGGACATTTTAAAGGAACAAACTGAAGTTCTGTATTAGAAGTAATTAACTTTATAAATCCCAGTCCAAAAAATTTTTAGGGGCTTCACAGTGTTTAGTTCTAATTAAATACCTGCAGGTTTTCTTCCATAATCTCATTTTTAACATGAATTTTTTGAAGTTTTTAAACTAGCCAACTGAATCCCAGTCCTGAAAATAGTGTCCTGGAGCTGTAGATTATTGACATAATAAACTGATGTTCTTTAAACGTGGATCTGCGAGGAGATTGTTGTACTGTATTGTGCTTTTTAGCCTGTTTCCAGATGTTAATTAGCATTGACCAGTAATGGCCATTTTGGCTCAAGTTATTTATGTATTTTAAGCCTGTGAATATCGCAGCCCCCTTTTAGATAGTATGTCTAAATACGCGTTCTGCAGTGAAGCTATTCAGCTGTCCACATGTATAGACTATTGAAATACTGTACTGGCACACATCTGACTGTTGACATTTTGTACCTTTTCTAAATCCAATGTTTCACAATAAAATCTTGTCAAAACATTAATCTGTCCTTTTAAAATTATTCAGAAATTCATATTTCATGTTAATCCTTCACACTATGTCACTCACTAAAAGTCCGTGGCAAAAAAAAAAAGGCAGAATTTAGTATTTAGATTTCTGGGAAGATTAGACACCTTGGGCTGTCTACAAATTGTAACAAATTAGAGCTCCAGATTAATTCCTGTCAAGAAAATATATTGCTTTTCTACAACAGGATTATAATGCATAGAAATATTTTCTTGTAGAGAAGAAGAAAAAAGCCTTAAGGTTTAACTGAAATCTAGTGACATTTAATAAGGCCTTCAACAGGCTTTTTATATTCTGATTAACATCAGCACTCGTGTTTAAAAGTACCCGAATGTCAGTCTTAGTCTGTTAACCATAAGGTTGTTCTTCCTTTACGTACCCTGTTTATAAGTTGGGTGATTCTGAGATGCGAAGTGACATTAATAATTTCTATGTCCGTTCCCTTTCTTGTGTCAGGAGGAGTTAGGCGCCCACGCCAACATGCTGCCAGCTGCCCGTTGCGGGGGCTCCTAGTGTTTAGAGCTCTTGTGCTGCAATTTGTGGATCTCATTTTATGTTTTTCTCAGCAATCAATCTTCATCTTTCCACAATCCCACCAAATACTTCTCATTTAAGAACTAAAGTTCAGAATGGACACCCCCCCCCCACCCCCCCAAAAAAAAAGGCAAACCAACAAGAGAGTAAGATTCTATAGCTTTCTGGTCAAGGCAGTTATCTGGAAGGGGGGAATCTTTGCCTTTCAGAGCCCCGCTCTTAAAACGGTGTATATTTTATGTTAGGTATAGTAATGAATAATATGCTATGCTAATATTGAGTTGTTCTTAGCCTCATTTTAATGCAAATTTGCAATGGCTTTGTTGAAACCATTTATTTGTAAAGCTGAGAGCAAGTCAAAACCATGTGTGGTACCTAGTTTAGATACAGCTTCCATGTGATACATGCAGAACTTGGATAACTGACCATGTAACAGATTGACTCCCTAAAAGAGATTTGCATAATTTGAAGCAAATTTCCTTAAAGAAGATTTAAATTGATATAGCCTGTGTATAGGCACTTAGGCAGTTCTTAGTGGTCTTCAGTAGGTTCAGAAGCTCTGAATCTACACTGATTTTTTTGAAAACACTGAAGTTTATGATTGCAAACTATAATCTTAACTAACTTTTTAAAATGGAGTAAAAGCTGTTCATGTAATTTTTGTTCCTTGAAATGAGTTACTAAAACATCAGTTCACTTGAAAATACTGCAACAGAAGATACATTTTCTCATATATTATGTGCAATCCCGTTAGCTTTGCTCATGGAAAGGGTATTGCTGTATAAAATTACTTCTGTTGAATCCCACAGAAGTAAGGGGAATCAGGGAAGGGGATTACTGAGGTGGAAAGAGGAGGTGTTTGAGGTGCTCCTGGGGAAATAAGGAGGGTAATGGAGGTGTAAGGACTAATGGGGAAGAGAAACCTCTGAGATACCGTGTTACTCATTTAAGTGACGTACTGAATCACATGGTTGGGTTTTTTTCAAGACACGTATTATCTGTGTATGTTCAAAAATGGCAACTCTTTAAGGTAAAATGCAGCATTGCTTACGGGAGTTTGTTTTTCTTGTAATGATACTAGAGTCCAAATTTGAGAAATGAACAGAATAAACAGCTTGATTAAACTGAAATATAAAGATGTACAATGTAAAATCCATCTCAAAAGCAGTTAGTCATGCTGTTTAGGCCTAGAAAAAATAGGTAAAACTATAACAGAGTACTGTATACCATTGCTACAGCTGGGTAACGGTGCAAGTTTCAACCTAGGACTTCAACTTTCTGTCTGTTCTTACACATTAGATAGAAATTATTCTTAAAGATATGTCACTCACCAGCACATGAATCATTGACATTTTCCCTTGCTTTAACCCAAACAGAAAACAAGTGTGAATTTGCCCATTTACCTTTAAAAATGGTCATTATGGTATGCTGGCACTGTTCTAGCTGACCTTCTTGCTCCTGGCAATTTCTCTTCAATCTTTCTCCTTCTGGTGGGTAAAGGCAATTTTGCATTTTGACTGAAGGGGGTTTAAGTACGGTGGACGCTGATGTGCTAAACAAGCCAGGTGAAAGTAGAGATTTGTTTGTAGAGTGTAGATTTTCCTTCTTCTAAGGCTTTCTGACTCTTGGGGTACTTGGGTAAGTTCATTTGTTTTTAATTGTCAATTGGAAAATAAGCATTCCAGCTTCTGAAGAATACTAAAGGCTGAAGATAAACCTGCATCATCTTTGCATACAAAAGGTCAATCTTAGAGGCATAAGCGGAAGACTGCTTTTATAGTGACTTGTTTTATTGTAGAAGGCTTGTGGACAAACAAAAATAAATTGGACCAACAAATAGGTCAGAGTTGCTTTGGACCACGGTGATCGTATTGCAGGCTGGGTCACGGGAATGTGATATATTCCTACCATGGCTTCTGCAGGTATTAGAACTTGCAGCCTAAGTTGATTTTTACCTCCAGTCGAAGACGGTCCCCCTTTTTTTTAGTAACTTACAGCAATTTATTTTGAACTGAATGCTGAAAACCTGAAGATGTTTTCCCTTATTTGAATCAATGGGTAAATGTGTTTTGCTTTGTTTCAAGGAAAGTAGCAGCGCATTCACGATTTATCCTTCATCAGGTACATCAACTCATGTCTTTTCATTGTATCGAAATCTTGAAGGTCAGTTGTATTTATAGATGTTCCTTGGGAAACTTTTTAAACTTTCTTAGACAACTCTTTGCACAGTGGTTTACTTTTTGCAGAATCACGTGTGTTAATTTTCCCTTACATTTGTATGCTCAAAATTCCACTGCAGCATCAATGATAGAGTTATTTCCTGGAATGTTTTTGTCCAGCCATGGTCTGGTCTTGAAAATATTTTGTGACTATAGTGATTAGAATTCAACTTACAAAAATTTATTATTAACTAATAAAAATGTATTGAACCAATTTACTAACAGAAAAGTGTCTTTTTCAGGTACAGATTATTCCTTTTGTTGGATGTGAATGCAGTGAGGCATTTTCCTTCATTTAAGGAGGAGAACTGTACCACTTACATTAGCGTGTTTACAGGTATGATGTATTAGAACATAAAAAAACTTCCAAAAAGGGGAAGAGTTGTAAGGCTGTATTTGTAGAATCGCTGCTGAAAGGCTAATTCGTTAATCTAGCTGACTGCACTGAAGCAGCCTAGTAGCGCTTGTACAACCTGCTGCAGTGCTGTAGTTGCTCAGCGTGTTACCAGATGCAGCTGGGAACAGTAATTTCGATCATTCCTTCAGGATCTACAAGAATTTGCTCGTCACTTACCTGACTCGGGGTGCAGCATTCCTTAAAGTTATCATAGTGCAAGATACCTTTACGTCTTATAACAATAATAGCCACAAAAGTGGAGTAAGCACTCGATTCGTCCTCTTAATGGAAAGGCATGAGATTATCTTGCATAAAAAAACCAAATTGCCTTGCAAGATGCAGTTGAAACTTAATTCCTGCATTCCTTGGTTGAAGATACCTCAGTATTTCTCCTGTAATAAATCTGCTCCAGGTTTTCGGGTGGGATTAGCAGTCCATAGTGCTTTTTCCTCTTGTTTTGCATTAAAGCTAATGATACATAAAGATTTTTTTTAAAAGCAAACACACCTTTGGATCCTGTGATTCCATTCACAAGTGATGGAATGAACCTCTTCCCTTACTTCCTGAATGCTAAATTTAGTAAGAGAAAATAAAGCTAAATAGGAGTGGCTGCCTACATAACTTTAGCCACTAGATGCTGCTTAAACCACACAGTTTCTCAGAAGTATAGGGTTGTAAGTGCTTTCTGCACACCACCCGGCATCCACAGTGTGTAGCTCTTCCTGTTCAAATACAGCACT